CAACCTTTAATCCTGGGCACCCTGTCAGCCCTACTCAGGCTCTGCTTCTCTATCTGTCAGCCATGCCAAAGGATTGTGGGTGACTGCAGGGCCTACACACTGCCCCAGTGCAGCTCAGAGCACACAGGTGAGGTCGGGTGGGGGACTCATTCCAGTGCTAACAGCAGGTAGGCATGGCGTAGGCCCTGGTGAGCGGTGGAGTTCCCAGCCTGCCAGGACTCCTGTGTCCATCAGCCTGTGCTGGGCAACAAGACACCGTAAATATCGGTGAATCAATAGTAATATGGTCCACATAATTTTTCCCTCCAACCAAAGAAGCCCAAAATGCCACACACCCGTCTTCCTCCAGCCATGTCTTGCTGCACAATGTGGATCCCGAATTCTGTCCTCCCCACCCAGGAAGCTACACCAAGGCTGAGAAGGAAGCAGAGACCAGCAACCACCAATCACTTCTGGTAACAGCTGAGACAGTTCCCCGTTTCCAGAGGCAGTAGGGACATAAAAGTGGTAGCCACTGTCAAAGTTCCCAGCTCTGTGTCCTGGTGTGACATGGGGTGTGGTTTCCTCTCTGTGTGCACTCACATCGGCTTCCCTATTCACACAGGGACTCTGTGAGCTTTTGTAACATTTACTGGCTCTTTGATACACCCGATCACCTCTTTACTATGTCCTTTGCTGCCAGCCAACCTAGGTGGTGTGGCTTGTGGCCAGGGACCTTGCTCTGACCTCTGTTAGGGCAGGACCCTGAATGACCAAGGGACACTGAATCACCTAGGCCTTTTTCGGCCAAGCCAGATCTACTTATGGTCACCTTGCCTCACCTGCCTTCCTCGCACCCATCTTTGCTTGACCCTGCCAACCTTGCTTGACCACCGGCCTTTGACAAGCCATCAACCAGCCTTCTCCCTGTTCTCCTCCTCACAGCTTTCCTCCAGGTTGATCCAGGTCTTGAACTGAATGGGAGAAAAGTGCTGGTCAAGTGCTGGAAGAACTGTGTCCCTTAGTCACCCATCAAACTTGGAGGGGGACCCATTCCTAGGGGTCACCTTGCGGCCAAGCAACAAGTGGGGTCCACTCAGACCAACAGTCACACCCTGGAGGGATGTGCCCCTCCTACCAATCAACTATGCAAGACCAGGAGGGTGGCCTCTGCACAAGCTCTTTCAGAATGAAAGAACCAGTAACCCACTGTCTGGGGTGTCAGTTCTGACTCAGGGTGGCCCCACACATGGCGCAGGGGTGCTTCACAGCATTTTCAATGACTGCCTGTATGGAAGCCTGTCACCAGGTCTTTCTTCCGAGGTGCCTCCAGATGGCCTTGAATTTTAATTAGCGTGGAGTCGTCTTTGTCCAGGAGGCAGGTCTCTCCAGGCTCTCATATTAACTTATTGCTTCCCACTGCAGCCGGAGTGGAGTATAACCCTTCATACTCCTTCCCAACTGTGACCTTGGGCGGATCCCTTCCCTTCTAGTTTTGCTTGTGAATTCGGATGCCTACCAAGCAGGTTAATCGTTGTGCTTATTTCGTCTGGGCCCCATACCTGAGGATGGGAGGTGGGCTTCCGGGGAAGCAGAGCAGAGAGAAGCTGCCGGGTGCCCACGACAGGAAGGGGGAGGTGACAGGAATCTGGCGGCACCATGTGGGATTTCTCACTGAGGAGCCAGGTGAATCCAAAAGGCCACCATTGGATGTCCTCAGTCCCAGGGGCCTGGGGCGTTGCTGCCAGATGTGTGTTGGGGGCAGAGGCCCAGAGGCCAGGTACCCCAGCGCCCTCCACCTCGAGGCAGGGCCTGCGGCTGATTATCAGCTGCTGAAGGAGGCACCCAGAGGAGGGGAGCGTTAAGTGCTGAAGAAC